CCCGTCCCCCCTCTTTCCCAATTTCCACCTCTCTCCCTCCCGGCAGCGGCTATCCATATGGAGCCGGCCTGGCCTTCCCTGCTGCTCGGGGTTCTGATCGGAAAAACTGGACCTTTTGCGCGGAATCTAGTCCAGTGGCGTTTAGAGGCGCGGCGCGGGCGAGTAATGGGGATAAGTCGCACGTCACCCGCAGGCCTTAAGCAACGACGGGCGTTAGTTTAATGCTGTTCACTTTTCATATTCCAGATATTTTGGCAGGGTGACACGCCTGTTGCTCTCGTACGCGAACGGGACTGCAGACTGTTCTACGCCACCAAGTAACATATGAGGCCGGAATATTTTCATGGGGTTTCGAAAGGGAATAAAAACCGTCAAGCGACTGCCTCTCTTCTCCTTGCGAGTTGGGGAAAAAACGAGAATAATGTTAAGAAGGGGGCCGGGCAGGGGAGTTTTATTTGGTTTGACCCGAGGAGGGCCCGGCCGTACAACCTGTGGCGTGGCTCCGCGTGTTTTTTCTTCCTTCCGTCTTTACATAAGATCCAGGGCCAAGCGTGTCATGTGAGCATGAGCACCGCGCTAGCGGCGCTGCGCACGGTGCGCTTGTGTGAAGTCCAGACAATCGCGGGGGGAAACTTTCAGGGGGAGTGAAAACAAGAAAATAACGTTAAAAAGAAACCAGGGTTTTATGCATATACAAACATGTACACAGTACACACATTCACAAAACACTGTCCACAGAATCACAGATTGAGATTAAAACTAAATCTAAATGAGCTTATCATCCACCCACACAACAGTCAGTGGAAGTCTATCTTTTAGGTCTTAGGTTTGCTTTGATTCAAAGTACAGCCTCAAGGTTGGGTAATAGTAATACACTGGTACATCCTCACAAATGTCACAAGTTCGTAAGTTAAAACAAGATTCAAAATTTGCAAATTGTAAAAAGGTTTGTCCATAATTAAAAAAAATAGCATCAGCACATATAGAGGGGTGTAAATGATTTTTAAAGCACACTTTAAATAAGAATACGACCATTATAGTGAGATTACACAAAAGCTCATCTTATTGCAATTGATATTGCTTTGTCACACAGACTCATTTGGTTTGGGCATTTAGAGATTCATAATATATAATATAGAACATTCATTAGTTAGTAAAACTCTTCAGAGTTTTCAGAGCGGTCCGAACGGTCTGACTGATCCCCTCCAGTAGGTGACTGCAACTGCTCAGGGGATAGTTCGGTGATTTCTGTGACAAAACGATTAAGAATCATAAACAAAACAAAAATTCAAGCTTATTAATATGTACACAATGATCAATGATCCAGCCAGAGTACAAAAAATAGTTCCTCACAAACCTTTCTCATCATGGTTGTTTAAAATTCGTAGAGGTACAAGGGCAGAAAAAGAAGGTGATGTTGACAAGATTAAAGCAAGACATTGTGCCACATTAAGATTTGGGGCACACGCAAGTACAGGACTAAGGCCACATGCATCGACAGCCACAACTGATGCTCCTTTCTCCAAGAGTGATTGAGTAACAGATACTAAGCCATGTCTTGCCGAAAGATGTAAAGGTCTGGAAAGATAGATGATTATTATTCATAGGTGCGGGGTGGTTAACGCTGCAAACACAGCACAAACTTTGTCAGTAAATTAAAGCTAACTCACGTTTGCAATTGCCTGTTTGCCATATTGACTATTGTGTGCTGAGGATTAGGTATATTGTCTAGTAGGAGTAAAGCAGTTTCTGTGTGCTGTTTCTCACAAGCTAGATGAAGAGCTGTATTACCCTCTCTGTTCCATGCTTTTACATCTGCCCCACAGCTTAAAAGTAATTCTAAACAAATAGTAAAATGTTAAATTACCATTCCAGATTAAATTTAGATATTTTTAAAATATTAACAATGCCTCACCTATAGCTTGAATGTGTCCATTCTGTGCAGCACATAAAAGAGGAGTTTTTCCATTTGTGTCGGTTGCTTCAACTGACGCGTTTTGTTGCAAAAGCAATTGCATACAGGCAACATTATTGTGTGCAGCGGCTAGATGAAGAGGTGTCCGTCCAAGCGAATCTCTCAAATGTACACTTTTTCTTCCAAATGTATTGATAAGAAGATCCAAACATTGTTTGCTTCCATGGTATCTAAATATAAGGAAGGGCAGGTCAATTTTAGTCTTTCAACTTGATCAACTGTTCTAATACTCATAGATTTGAATTGAAACTCACGAAGCACAATGAATAGGTGAGAAAGGGTTGCCCTTCATTGTTCCAATCAGGCAAGATTGCAGTAAGTAGTCCACACAGGAAGAGCGGCCTGCCATGAAAAAAAAAATTGTTCAGTCTAAATAGCTATAGGATATTTTAATAAGGAGAAGGTAAGAAATTAATTTACTGCTGAAGGTAGTTACCATTATAGGCAGCCCAATGGAGTAAAGAGCATTGCTGGCCATCAAGGAGTGTGTCAAGAACAACACCAAGCGAATGAGCCGATTGTGCAAGAATTGATAAGCAGTTTAAATGGCCCATAGCAGCAGCTAGATGTAATGCAGTCTTCCCTTTCCTGTCTTGCCAAGTCACATTGGCACCAGCTTGAACCAGTAAAGACACTACTTCACTGCAACCATTAACAACAGCTCGGAAAAGTGGAGGGTGCAGATCTTCATCTACCATATTGATACTTGCACCATATTTTATGAGCATATTGACACACTTGACGTGACCCAGACCCACAGACATCATCAATGGTGTTCTAAATTAGGGAAAGAATGGATTATTTCTTACTAATGGGTAAATAAATAAAAACTATTATTTTTTATATTTTTTTTGCACTAGCATTATACCTTTTCTTGTTGTCAATAGCATCAACCACACTCTTATTTTCACAATTGTTTAAAAGGAGATGTATGCAGTCCTCGTTCCCAGAAGATGCAGCTGCATGAACAGGAGTACGCTTGGAACGAGAATCGTGTACTAATACTTGTGCTCCATACCTTAGGAGAAGCCCAACACATTGACTGTGACCTAAAGATAGATTTTTAAAAAATACACGTGTTAGAGAATAATTGAGAAAGGGTACATCTTCTGTGCGAAAATAAAACTATTTACCTTTGTGAGCTGCTAAATCAAGTGGTGTCCTTCCATTTTGTTCTCTTACATTATAGTTGTTAAAAAAGGGGAGAAGCAACCTTAAAATTTCATGATGGCCATGATATGCAGCTAAATGAAGGGGAGTTATGCGAGGCAAATCATCAGTCTGAAAATCTAAAGGGCTTAGTACCAAGAGTAATTTTTCAAGCCCTGCTTGATTACCACTTTCCACAGCATAATGCACAGCTGTAAAGCCCTGCATATCCCTCAAAACGGGGTTAGCTTGGTGCTGCAGCAGATACTCCACACATTTGCCCTCTGTATCTCCCTTTGAAGCCAAGTGTAAAGCTGAACAGCCATACTTATCCTGTTGATTGACCCTAGCTCCTTGACCAACAAGTGTGAATAAGCAAGATAAATGCCCTTGCTCAGCAGCATAATGTAAAGGTGTGCGTAGATGAGTATCAGGTACTTGGAAGGTGGCACCACTGCTCACCAAGAGGTCTAAGCAGTCTACACTCCTAAATGAACAATCAAAAAGAATAGTATCAGGGTTTGCTAGAATAATATTCATTCAAGTTCACAATTTAAAAAAAGAATTACCCCCTATAAGCAGCTAGATGAAGAGGAGTTTTCATTGTGTGATCAAGAGCATCCATATCCACCCCTGCCTGAAGAATTTTACGACAGCATTCCACAAATCCTCCAAGACAACACATGTGTAAAGGAGTGCGACCTGTAAAGAGAAAACGAAAATAAAACATTAATTTATGTTTCTAAGAGAGAGTTTTCATTTAATTTTCAATTGCAGAAAGAGAGAATTCATACCTTGATAGCCAGGTTTTCTGGGGTCAGCACCAACACCCAACAAAGTCCCTGTCAGCAAATCATGACCATATAATGCAGCAATATGCAATGCTGTACAACCATTTTTGTCCTCTTTGTCTACCTCAGCACCTGGTGAAAAATTAATTGGATGGATTTAGATAGGTAGAACTTAAAAAGTCACTTGCAGGTCAGTAACAAAATGTAACACACCATGATCAATTAAAATCTTTGAACATGTAAACCTTCCATAGTGGCAGGTCATATGAAGGGGTGTTCGGCCATCGTCACTCTGTGCATTTATGTCAGCTCCTTTCAACAACAGTTGTTCCATGCATTCTTTGCCATCAGTTGACGCAGCAGCAATGTGCAATGGAGTCTAGACAAGAAATTTTTTAAATGAGTGGCAGAAATCATTTTTAATTAAGAAATTAAAATTGATTTAAATAGTCTACCTGTCCTCTGTAGTTTATGGCATTAATATTTGCATTTCGGTACAACAGCTCAACACAAACACTATTGTGACCATTCAGACAGGCAATATGAAGTGGTGTATTTCCATAAGAGTTTATTCCATCAACATCAGCACCATTTTGCAACAACAAATCCACCACAACTGAATGGCCACGTGCAGCTGCTGCATGGAGAGGTGTATATTTCTGAAGAAAAATACACAACACCAACAAAATTATTGGGCATTGAACTATTATGTACATTTTTAACACACACACACAAAAGGCTACTGACATCTTTATCACGAGCATTCACATCAGCTGATTTCTGGAGGAGTGTCCAGACAACATCCTCATGACCCATAAAAGCTGCCCAATGCAAAGCAGTGCGTTCTTTCTTATCTCTAGTGTTAATGGCACAATTGTAACCTAGGAGAAAATGCACCATCTGGAAGAAAATAAATAGTGTAGAGTGTTAAAGATGGAAATTGATAGACAACTTTAAGTATGATGTTTCAAAGTAAAGGTCAGACGTACTTCAATATGGTTACTGTAAGCAGCATGATGAAGACCAGTTCGTCCACTTCTATCAGTAATATTGATATTAGTAAGCTCTTGAAAAAGATGTGCTACACTTTGCATGGCATTGTTTGCAGCTGCAATGTGCAATGGTGTTTGCCAGTGACGATCTCTTGCATTAACATTTGCTTTATACTTTAAGAGGACACCAACAGTTTCCTGAAACACACACACACACATACACATCATTATGCTAACCTTTTGTATATAAATACTTTAAATATAAACTAGAATGTCTTCTTACACCACTGTCATTGCAGCAGGCTCTATGCAGTGGTGTGAGCCACCGAGAATCTTTAGGATCCACTCGTGCTCCATGAACTATAAGTTTTTCGGCAATTTCAGCTTCATTTTGGTAAGCAGCAGCATGAAGAGGGCTTCGTCGTTCTCTGTCAAGGTGGTTGACATCTTCCTGATCAGCTAAGAGTGATTCTACAAGTTCAATATCCCGAGCAAATATTGCTTGGATGAGCGGAGGCTGAAACGAAATATAAAATTTTAATTTATAAATATTAATGAGTATAGCTGTCTCAACGTACTTACATCACTTGAGATAAATAAGATATGTAAAATTACCTCTTCTTGAAGTTCCTGAACTTGTATTACCATCGTGATCAATTATAAACCGGTACCTGAAAACATAATGCACAACATATATTACATACAGATTGTGAGTATCACAGGGAAGGTGTGCCCATACCATTCAATCATAACCCAAAACACAAACACAGCCCAGTTTATGTTACAGTGGCTAGTCAAATGTATAAGAGTCAAAACATCACGCGATTTTTAAACACAACAATGTAATGTAAATGCAGCAAACAAATTTAAAATCAAAAAACCTTGTAAAACCTAACCTCTCTTTCTCCACTTTTGCTGTCACAGGGAAGTAAACAATGCCTTCAATACTCCTTTTTTCCGAACGATTCATTCGGACTTCAAGATCTACAGACTGATTTCTTATCAAAATAGGAAATGTGTGAAAATATAAAAATTAATTCAGGCATGGTTACTGAGAAACATAAAAATTTATAAAATATACATGTTAAAAAATTCCATCACAATCAAAGGTTAAATGGTCCGTGCTACACGGGTGTGTCTCGGGGGACGAAGTGCGAACGACGGCAATGACGTCATCAATGGGTGCCGCCCAAGCGCATGCGCTAGGTATGGCAGGCGGGCTTTTCGAATTCCACAATTCCACCTTTGCCGCTTCCAGATTGCTCCCCGCTCCCCCTCCCCCTCCCTCCACCGCAACTCGCTCAAAATGATGTTTTCCAGTGAACGAAAGGTACCGTTACAATATATAGCAACGTTTTATTTTGAAAGCTACTCAATAAATACCAAGTGGCTGTGGCTGACATTTCTTCGCCAACTCCTAGTAAGCCGACTGTACCGCACGCAGGCGTGCGGGCGGGCCTGCCTATCGCCCGACCACGGCGCCTTACATGCAGGTAGGCAGCCGGCCCGCAGGTAAGAATGCGGTACAGCACAACTTCACAAGAGTGCGCGGGGTTAATCGGCCACCCTGGTAGAAACGCTCACCCAGCCGACGTCGCGACAAGCCGACCCCGAACCAAAGTTTCCGACACAATCTTTATGACCATCGCCCAGCACACCGACGACGACTGTTCTCTCAGGCAAAGTCGCTCGTTGGACGTAAGGTCATTTCCGGGCCCATCGTGACACACCTTATCGGTGTCGGTGGGCGGTGTCACCGCACGACCGCACCCGAAGGATGGCGCGCCGCGGAAGTCTCACGCGGCGTCTCCTCGGACTTCCCTCCGCAGCGCGGTGCTGCCACTCGCGCGGGTGAGCCGGGTGCTGGGCTGGGCGGGCACACCCGCCACGAGGCGTACACCACCGGGCCGGCCTTAACGGCGACGTCTCTCGTTACCGCGAGTCTTGGATTACCAGTCGTGCGCGATGCGTAACTCATCTCTTCTTCATGTCATCGACGTCGACGCGAAGCTGCCACCAACTGTACTGTACTACCGCACTGTACCGCGTGCAGTGCAAGTGCGGGCCGCGCTGGAAAAACTGATTTGACATGGTGTGTCTCATGATCGTGATAAGCCCGCTGGCATTCTCTTGAAGGATAATCGTTTTGATCACGATGACCCCTTCTTCGGACGTAATAGACAACAAACGACTTTTTGCAGAGCATGACAGATCATTTTCTGCAAGTGTGCAATAATTGTCTCATAAGTCAAGCCAGAAATATGAGTCACGCGAGAGTCCTGGGCTGGGTTCTCCACCGAATCGTGACGTGACGCATTATCTTTTGCACAGGTTAATCTAGGGTGGGCGTTAAGAGAAGGGGTTGAGAAGGGTGGCACATTTGCATGCGGGGAGAAGCAGGGAGGACGATGAGAAGGACTTGGGTTGGTTGCTGCACTGGGCGGTGGTGGTCAAGCTTTGGGGGGGGGGGGGTATGGAGGGTAGGGTGGCGATTCGAGAGGGTGCGAGAACACGAGAGGGTGGGGACGCGAGGAAGGGGAGGGGTTGTGACTCGCTCCGTTTTCGTCTTTTTATTCAAGACAGGTGCTGGGCGTGGTGGACGCGGCGCTGCTTCGGCGTCGAGGAGGGGGTTGGCGAGGGGAGAGGAAAGAGAGGGGAGAGGGGTGTCACTGGCGTACGGTGTGGCCGCGCGGGAGCGCGCGCGCTCACGGGCGGGACCCGGCCCCGGCCTGGCCGGCCGTTGTGGAGTTGGGTCGTTGGAGCACGGAGGCCTCGGCGGGGGGCGGGCAGCCAGGTAGTGAGTGCGGAGTGCGGCACCGCGCGCAGCCCGGGAGTGAGGTTAGTCTCTGGAGAACAAGCCCGAGGAGAAGAGTTGGCGCGCCCGCGGCAGGAACGGCAGCAACAACAGCAGCGGCAGCAGCAGCACCGGCGGTCCAGGTCCGTGCATCCGCCGTGCTCCGTCGTGGTCTTCCCTCGGCTTTACAACTCTTTCGCTTTCCGGCTTATTTAATCCTCGGCATTCTATGGTGGTGGTCGTGGTCGAATTTTTTGGAGCGGAGTGTGTATAGGAGATAACCGAGCGCTATCGGGTGCATTGCGCCGGTGAGCTCACCTCCTCCTCCTCCTCGCCTGCAGGTCCCTTCTGGTGACGGCAGGCGTTCGTTGACCCCTCCCCACGAGACCGCCGCCAGCCTGCGTTGGCCCTGGTCAGGCTTTTAGCAGGGGTACAGGTTTTCGTGATCTGCGGACGACTCTCAAACTCCTCCTCAACGGCGCGCCAAAGAGAGAAGAAAGAAAAAAATGCAACAAACAACAAACTTGACCTTTTTTTAGTGCCTTGAAGGAGCCTATAGGCGGAAACACCCTGCAAAAGTTGGTCAACAAAGCACACATTTTCCCCGGTTTAGAAATAAAATAGTGTCAGAATGTTGACGTCACTTTGACATCCGTCCGGTGCCGAGCCGGTACAGCAGTAACGGGCGGCGCTCGGTGAAAGTGGAGCGATACGGCTGGAGTACATAATGGCGGGGATTAATGCAGGGATAATGTCAGGACCGCATCGATTAAAAATGGCGAGCATTGTGAGGAGGATGCTTTGGTTTCGGAGCACGCCGTTGAGTAGAGAGAGAGAGATTAAACTGCCCCGATTGTGCGCACTCCGAGCGTGCGAGTAGGCTGGGTTGCCTAAGTTGCAGGTGCGCCAGCAGGGCGATTCCGCACAGCGCTTTCGTACTTCCGTCCTCGTCGCACTCACAGGGCGCCGCCGCTTGGTGGGAGAGAGAGAGGAGGGCGAGAAAATGCAGTGCGGAATCGCCTTGCAGATGTTGCCCGGAGGTCCGACTTTACACGGTGAGGTGTGTGTGTGCGCCTTTGTCCCGCTGAACCAGGGAAGCGAGTGCTCCCCGCGGAGGAGCGACAAAAGGTCCACGCCGGCCGATCGGGAACGCGTGAGGTCACACCGCGCGTGGACCGTGAGGCGAGGGTCCTGGACGCCTGGACCTGCCGCAACAGTGTAAGGAGTGCGAGCCTGCGTGCGGCGCTTTGAGAGAGCCTCCTCGGCACGCTCGCCATTATAGCACCACGGCCCCGACCAGCACAGCGGTATTTTCTTCTCCTTCTCGCTCTTCTTCTCTTTATCGTTACTTTGCGTCCTCCGTCCCTCTAGACCAAGAATTTAACAACGATGTATACCATCTATGTGTTCGTTGGAGAATCGCGTCCTAAAATTTGGTGTCGGGTATATAAAGATTTTGTTAGTGGAGCCTTTTTTATTTTTTTAACATCAGATAACTTTTTCTGCTAACTTGTAAACGTAAAAGGCTTAAGCTAGGAGGCAACTGATAGCGGATTTAGTTTCGCCTCTGCTCCAAGCCTACCCTATACGTAATCTGCTTACTTTCAGTTTTTCCGGATTACTTATGTAAGCAAACGGATGATAGCGATATCACAAATCAGACCATGACATCACGATAATGATAAAACCAATTAACTGTAGAGAAAAATATCACTCTCGACTCTGATATCAAAGTAACGACTCTGACTCCCGGACCAGGGACTCCGAGTCCGAGGGGCGTCACAGTGGAATGGGCAGCGGCCGACGACAACGCAAGCCATACAAGTGTTTGTGAGTGAGTGTGAATGTGTGTGCGTGCGTGCGAGTGCGTGTGTGTGTGAGTGTATTTGTATGTTTTATACTGTTCACTCTCGGACTAACAGCTCGGTGACAACACGGACATTTGTGCGCATATATCATAGCACTGTTCTCCTTCACTCTCATCCTGTTACTGATATTTTTCACCCCTTGTCAGTATTCCTGCTGCGTAAAATCCTTTATAAGCTACTGACAACTGTCTTCATCAGTAATACGAAAAAATTTCGTTTTTAATTACTGACAATTTTTTCTTTTACCAGTGAGTTACTTACAACAATATAGAATATAAGTAACTCATTAGTCAGTAATCCTGCTGCATAAAAACCTTTATAAGCTACTAATAAATAGATCGGTCTGAGAGTGTTTTTTTTGTTTTGTTTTTTTTTCAATTTGGGCCTTTGATTGTTATTAATATCAAAGAACGATTAACCGCAATCACAAATGGCTGGGCTCAGCCAAATATGGACATAGTTATGTACCACGGCAATTTTTTTATTTTTTAATCATTTTAAACGTTGAATGCATATACCTTCGCCGGTGACGTCCCCCGAGGGGGAGGAGAGGCGTGACTCTCAGTAAAGTGGCGTCAATTAGTCTGCAGAGCGCCCACTCCGTGCCTGACCCGGGTATCGTCCGAGCCGGTGCATTCCAATTAGCTGAGCACGGTGACACCGAGACCGACAGGGCGTCACCCACGAGGGGAGTGGTACTTCCCTGTAAATTCAAGCGTTCACCGAAATTTTCTCGATTTTTTTCTGATTTTTTTTCCTGATTTTTTTTTTTTTTTTTTTTTTTTTTTTTTGTGCACACTGATCTTCATTGAGTGACGTACTCATCAGCGTCACCCATACACAGTCTATCTGGCTTTGAGTGGCCGCAGCGGCCCGGCGGCGTCATGGCCATGCTCCTTTGCCCGCTCCCGGACCCGGGACCGTAGTATAGTGATCCTCTGCGCTGAGCGGTGCTGCGACCGTTGCACGCGCAGGCTGCGCAAGCTCGTGTCGGGCGTTTTAGACGCGCGTCAGGCAGGGGGCAGGGAGAAGAGAGGCCTTCGGGCGGCCTTGGCCTTTGGTTGCTAACCGAAAAGGAGCATTGCACAGACACCTGCTCCAGAGACTTGTCCGATTAGTGCCCCTCCCTCGCCCCCCCCCCCCCCTTCTCTCTCCCTCTCTCGCTCTGTGTCTGTCTGTATCTCTCTCTCACACTCTCTCTCATTCTCTCTCTCACACACACACGTGTACACACGAGGCTCGATCAGCCGATTGTTCCAAGGTCATGGCCCTGTCCGAGAGGCCCCCGTCAGGTCGAGAAGGCAACGTGGTTTGAGAGGATGAGAACGGGAACGTTTCGTGTTCCGCGGAGGCCCCTCCCCCTCTCCCCGTGGACTTCCCTCCGGGCGTTGGCACGCTCAAATGGGATTAAACCCGGCTTCGGATGCGCGCGGTGCCGTGCGTGTGCGGCATGACGGTGTCCGGTGTCGACCGCCCGGGGGCGACCGGGGCGGCTGGGGCCTGCGGGACAGGTGGGGGGAGGTCATCTTCCCGAAGCCCGCAATCCCTCCCCAAGAAGCAAGCAGAAAACCGCCCGCTTCGCATCCCACCCCTGCAGTGACTCGAACCACCCCCGCGCCGCGTGCGAAGCCCGCCAAACCGCCCGTCCCCTCCTGCTGACCCTGACCCCCCGCACCCAGACCATCGCGTCGTTTGGGGTGGCGGCTATAGCGTCGTACTCCACGCTCAGAGTGTCCTGGAGAGCTCCAGGCCTCCAGTGTGTCCTTGTCCAGGGTGAGCGTCGTGTTTCTCCACGGCATCATCTGCTTCGCGGGTGCCCGCCCCGCCTGACGCTGACGGTGTCCTCGAGGCGGCACAACGCCCCGTTGCTGCAGGAGGATACAACCCCCACCCCGCGCGGCCGGCGTGCTCGAAGAGGCCAGGAGGACCCTGCTGCTGACACCCCCCTGGGAGGACCCTGGCGTGTCGGATGACAGGATCACTCTCGGAGCGCCGGCCCCTGCCCCTCGCGCGCCCGGGACACCCGCGACACGGATACGGCGGCCAGCGGCCCTGCGACTGCTGCTGCTCGCTTGCGGTACAGTACGACTCACCACCGGGCCGGACGGGCCGCGCCGTGTTGACGCTGTGGGCTGTTGCCACCTCCCCTTTTATTTGTTATTGGGCAGACCTGGATTGTTTCCTCGAGAAGTAATGACATAACTGATGAGCTGGCCAGGCCGGACCGCCGCTGGACGCGGGGCGGGACTGCAGGGGTCCGGGAATGTTATCGTTCTGCGGACGACGGGACGCGCGCCCGCGCCTTTGTCTTCCCAAAAGCGTGGATTACTGTTTTGTGTGGCTTCTTAACAAAAACAGAACGCAGTACTGTACAACTATCGTGCCCGACCGCGGCGCGGCGTGGCAGAGTCTCTGGCAGAGGCGCGGGCGGAGGCTGGAGGTGGAGGTATAGCGCTGTTGAATCGCTTTTCGCTAGGCCTTTGTGACCGAACCACACCTGAAGAATATAGTCCAGTGGCTCTCGTCCTCTTCACGCCATTAAGGACCCGCCACGCCCCGCCACTCCCCGCCACGCCAAGCCAATCAACGCCCCACCGTGCCACGCCCCGCCTCGTCGGACATGACCCCATCCTCTTTCAAGCAAATTGGCAGCCGTCCATCGAGTGCGAGGCGATCTGCATGAGGAGTGCGTTCAGTAGGAGTGCACCGCACCGTCGTCGCGAAAAAAGGGAGGGG